CGACCAGCTGTGTCCCACAAACAGTCGTGGATTGAGTGACCACATTTTTTTTTGGAGGGATTATTACCACCAGAAAGAGATCTACCCAAGAACTAACAACCGGGTTCCTAGTTACTGCAAGGTAACCAGAGACAATGTCAATTATCTCATTTGCAATGAAAGGGATTGGCACCGCAAGCTGTGGAATTAATTGTCCAAACTTGTTCGGTTGCAGCGAGGCCCATTCACAAACACTGTTAAACCACTCCAGATGACCATGTGTATGAAACTAGACTGGATGTACTGTGCTCTGGGTTCTCCCGAAGGCCGTTTCGAATTCAATTTCATTTTGAGTTGCTTTTCGCGCAATCGATCGAGCGACCGCAGCTCAGTTTATTCTGCGGCTGACTCTGTTTACTTTGGCAAAAAAAAAGGCAGGTCGCGTTCAATCTGGAGATCGTCCTTCCGTTTGCTTCTATAAGCAACCTCGCGTTCACACTGCAAATCAATACTGGCGTAAACACCCGTGAGAGGCAAGTCTCATGCTGGCGTCGGATCTGATACGTGGGACGTCTGCCAGCATAACAGTGGGGAATGTCAGGCTGATCTGAACCCCAACCCCGCCCCCTCCCCTCCGCTTCCCCAATAACCAAGGTCAGCAGTTCTCAAATGGTAATGCACATTAAGACTGATTCATTGCCTGTTACTCTCAAGAGTATACTGCACTACTTGGGATGCAATAAATTCAGGTTTTTTTTTTGGCTTTTCCCGCTTGCATGTTTTTAGTTAACTATTCCACTCTACCCTTACTTGAAACCGAAGGAAAACATTTATTGGAGAGCCGTAAGGTAAAGGTAAATTTAACACCGGGAGGAGCATTCAGAGACAAAGAGCAGTGGTTCAGAGGATCCTCTGGTCGCTAACTCATCAGTGAAATGTAGACGCACGGGAAGAAATGCTGGGAGAAGCGATATTGGATCAATCAATTGTTTGGCAATCCTGAAATTCCTACCAAGTTCCAAACTAGCATTCGAAATGTACCGGCTGAAAGTAAAGAGTCTTAAGGCCAATGCAAAGGATGTGAACAACAATTTAGTTATATTTCTAACGCATCTTTAACGTCAGGAGGAATTCCTAATGTGCTTCATACAGCTGACTGGGAATCCAAGCTTGCGGGGGGTGGGGGGGGGGAGAGAGGGGGAAAAGATGACGAAAAGAGCAGTTGAAACAGGCCGCTGTAGGCTGAGAGGAGGGTATCAATGTGAATCGACAGATTTATGTACAATATTATACAATTCTCATATTGAGGTTGATAAAGTAACTGCTAGCAATGGAATCCACTCATAGCAACTCAGTCACTGAGTTTTTCAGCTCACACTCATATCCCAGGAAGACATTTCACATGTAGCGGAACCCTAACTCTCAAACTCAGTGACTTTCAAGCTCGGTAAAGAGACACATAATTTTCTTTTCTTTCTCTCAACTTTTACTGTTGCTCTGCATCAAAGCTACCGCAGTCTGATCTTTAATAATGAACCCAAGTTGATGTGTTCCTTTGCTGCGGAAATCTGCAACCACATTTGTAAGGCCACAAGGACTTGTTTTGCACCCTTGTAGCTATCTTCGAGTCTTCTGGGAATTGGGGGAAAACTCTTACTGCTCCTTGGCTGATTTTCTTTGTTACTAAGGGTAACAAAGCACTTGGGAACAGTAGGGTGGGTATTCTGAAAGAAATGAGATCAGAGGGGCTGAAGGGCCTTCAGCATCCAAACCAATCTTGTGAACAGCCAGAACTGGCCGTCAGGGATGGTGATGGACGCCAAAAATCTCGGCTCATTTAAGAATTGGACGTCAGCCTGGCTCTGTTGGTAGCACTCTCGGCTCTGAGTCAGGAGTTTGTGGGTTCAAGCCCCAAGTTGGGACTTTGAACTCACAGTCTAAGCTGCAGTATTGGGGGAAGCACTACATTATCGGAGGTGATGTCGTTCGGATGAGATGTTAAACTGAGATCTCGTCTGCCTGTTGGGCTGGACGTTAAAGATCCCATGGCATTACTTGAAAAGAAAAAGATGTTTCTCCCGGTGTGCTGGCCAACAATCCAAATAACCAATGCATGACTGTTGGTGGGAGATTGATGTGCGAAAAACAGCTGCAGTGTTTCCCTACAAAATACAAGCTCACAATACTTCACAGTAAAACAAATCCCGGGAAGCGCTTCGAGATGTCTCAAAGACATAATAAGGAGCCAAACCAAATGCAACGGTTTATTCTTACTATAAATAAGAATTTGCTTATACTGTAATGGGAATAAGGTAAAGTAGGAATTCTAGAGGCCGAGATCATACAGTAATAATCCTTGCGTCTGATATAGTTTGATATCACTTGGTTGAGATGTCTCAAAGCGCTTCACAGACTGTACTTTGTGAGGACAGCTTTAGTCACTATAAACAGAGCTGCAAGAGGAAGCTCATTAGGGAGGAGGGAAAGATAACATGGAAAGAATTCACATGTAATAATAGAATTCCTAAATTAATTGTGTTTAATGTAACAGTTTACTTAGGGGATGAAATGAGGATAAATGATATAGTCATCCATAGGGATTGTTGTCAAACTGTTTGTAAGGAGTTGTCTGCAGCTTCCTGACATCAATAATAAACTGACGGCAGAGCTTGTAAACTAACTCCCTGATGCATTCCTCTGCCTGCCTATACTTCCCTCTAACCTCTAACCTCTGCCACCAGACCTCCTCTGCATCAGAATTCAGTCTCCCACCCTGGCCCTCAATAAAAACAAAATCACTTTAAGGTTACTAAATTAATTTAGCCTTTTCATAACAATATGTGGTGTATGTATAATAATAATAACACTTGCATTTCATATTGCACCCTATCACGTCGTCGAGACTTCTCAAAGCACTTCACAGCATTATACTGTAAAGTGAGTGACTGTGTATTTGTAGGCGAACGCGGTAGTTAATTTAGCTGGGAGAAACTCTCTTCTCTTATAGAATAGTTTCAAATGACCTGAACAGGTAGGCGGACCTCGACTTAAGGTCTTTAGTGAAGAATAGCATGTCTGATGTTGCAATATTTTCCCAGCACTGCATTGGAGTGTCAGCCGAGACTGTGAATTCACATTCCCAATGTAGGGCTTGAACCCACAACCTCAGAGGTGAGAGTGCTACCAACCTTGCCAGGCTGACAAGTAGAATATGTCATACACAGTCCGTAGCTCTGATAAATACAATCCATTGGTGAGACTGGCCCACAACTCAATTTGAACTTTGACATCAACCAAGCCCTGTACTTCCTCCGAGGAATGTATATTTTCAGGCGGTCCAAAGACAACCCAAAATAGAAGGTTTTAACCTTAGAATTTTGTAACGTTCCTTCAACGAAAATGAAAAAATGCACCCAAAAATTAACAAAAACATTGAGTCGTGTGATTGAGATGAAGTGTTCTGTGTCGAAAAACACCGAACAAAGATACATTATGACAGCGCACATCTTTGATCAATAAATGTGATGTTCTATCAGTTACAAATGACAAGACAGGATGAATGCAATTAGTTTTTAACTACCACAAACCAATGGGGAACTTTAATTATTCATTAAACAAGGCCTTGTATCTTCTTCTAATGAGATGTGAGGGAGTTTTTCATTAACGTTAAACTCACTCTGTGTTTCATGTCCGCGCTGGTTAAGAGACAGGGTCACTCTATTGGGCAACAGAGGTGGGATTAAAGAGCAATGTGCAAGCGTAATTTATATCCAAATTAAATGGAACACAATATGTACAACACCAATGACACCATGCATTAAACTTGCCATCTCCCGATCTGAATTGTCAATATATTATGCTGTATTGAGTGTACGCATGGAGACATCTGTATCCATACTAATACTGAGCAACATCCCTGGGGGGACTTGTGTTCAGGTTTGACACAGGACAAGACAAAGTGCTAAAGGATTTGGTTTGTTCAGTAACGTTGAGAAGGTATTCATTCGCCTCATGTTGGCTCTTTAGGCTCCAGAATGGGCGTAAAGGAAATAATCTTACAGTGAATTCTGCTTGATTAGTGAACGAACACGAGCAAATTGAGTTTTCCAATAAATAATCCCAGTGCGAGATTCTTATTGATGCCAAAGACATTATTAAGTAACCAATAACCCTGATTACATAACATCACCAGGACATCTTTTATTTGTATTATTTGGTCAGCTGGGTTATCTGTCACATAATAATAATAATAATAATAATCCTTGCATTTGATATAGTGCTTTTCACGTCTTCTAGACGTCTCAAAGCGCTTCACAGAATAGACTGTAAAGTGAATTGACGGTATATGAAATGCGGCAGCCAATTGCGCACAGCAGTGTCCCACAAACAGTCGTGGATTGAAGTGACCAATTTATTATTGTTTTTTTTTCTTGAGGGATTATTGTCAGGCGTGTGGAGTAAGGAAACTTGCCCAAGGTTTCGCCCTGCCGGTAATCGAACCCAGGTCTCTCGCTTGCAAAGCAAGTGCTCTAACCACTGAACTACAGGACTTCACATGTAGAATCCCAACTAAAAATCACAAGCTCAAATGATAATTTTTTTTCTAAGCTTTGCAAACAGGAATATATATTACAGTGGGCATGAGAGCCCTACAAGGTAATGCCTATGTCTCAGTTTTTAGATCATTTTGAAACATTAGCAAATCCCTTTTAGTATAGCAAGTTGCACATAGGGACATTGACTATGGATGATATTCAAGAACTTTGATTGATTTAAAAAAAAGGGCCCTAGGCGTTAAAATAACTAACGATGAAATAGTATCCAGATGTCTCTGGCTTATTTGTGATATTAAACAGTTTACATGCTTTCCTATCTTTCCTGTAAGTTTAAGAATAAACTTGCAATATTTAACAGCCAGCCTTTACATTTCTCATTACTCATTTGTAGACTGCGTTCTGACTCTGTGTGTTTCTATTAAGCTCGAGTTGAGAGATCATGAATATTAAACATGAAAATGCCTATTAAACAATGTTTATTCCATGTCGTTGTTATATTACATTATGTTAAGATTGCTAAAGTGTAAATGGAACAGTGATTAATATTTAATGTTGAATCGCGGGCTGCTGGGAGACAGAATGCCACAATGTCCTTTCACTGTCCTTCTGCCTCTGGAAGCTGGGCTTGAAGACGGTCGTGAAAGTCTCTTCCGTCTGCTGTCTGTGAATGTCCCACATGTGGTGTGAATATGAGCAACTCTCACCTTAGCTCCTGGTGATCTTGGCCGCACAGGACAGAACTGTTCAGCATAGTCTTGCCACTCAGAAGATGTAGGCATCTGGTTTAAGGGACACGGTTTAATTACGTTGATCAAAACAGATTAAATCCAAGTTTAACAATGGCCAACCTCAGTGGGCCTGACTAACCCAAATCCGATGCGAATTACAGCCACCACTGGCACCACTCATCTGCACTCGTGCAGATAAAGCAATATATTGGTCTCGTCTGGAGCAGAGCTCCAATAACGCTGCTTCATAATACTCTGTCAACAGGACCCAAGTGTGGTTCCACGAATCCTGAGGACTACTGACTCTCCAGCCTGGAGTCAAATGGTTCATCTGTTGCAGCCTGAGCGCCTATGTTATATCTTTACCATGAAACGTTGCAGTAGGTATGGTAGAGGTGTGACGTTAATGGATTTTATTACGGTGATTATATTTCCACTCGTGTCCGCTACTCCAAAAATTGTTCTGGCTTAGAGCTGAGAGATTATTCCAATTACATGCAAGTCCCGACTCCGTTTCTATACAGTTATAACTCAAGGAAAGAAAGACCTTTTTTTTTATCACATCACCTTGTTCACATCAAAGATTTCAGAGTGCTTTGCAGCCATTTTGTGCCAAGTGCAGTGGTTATTTTTGTAGACAGTCATTTGAACTAGCGAGGTCTCACACACAACCCTGAGGTGAATGATCAATGTTTCTGGAGGATGGAGGATGGTGAGTCTGAACCCTGGGAGAAACACGCTTCTCTTGTGTCAAATAAAGTCACGGGATCTCTAATGTCTACCTGAACAGGTGAACATGCTTCATTGAAACAACAGTGTCTATGACAATGCATTGTTCATTGAGTACCGTGTTGGAGAGCCCAGGTCTAGACTCTGAGCTCAAGTTCCTGCGTGAAAGGCACTATTCAAGTGTAATCTTGTTGTTGTAAGGGCTTGAACCTTACATCCTTCCAACCCAGATATTAAATGCATGATTGTGAATATTATCTTGTAATTCCTAATGATATTCCCAGTTTTCCGAGCTCCCTGTAATGTCACAAGTGTTGCAGTGTAAGTAATGCATGATATTGAACGCATGACCGCTAGAAGGATGTTGCCGTGATCAAATCAATATAGCATGGCTCTAATGTACACATAGAGGACATATTGATTCAGATGCTTTTGTGATTGTGGCGAGGGTGTTCTACGCACTGAGGTAATAGGTTATTTTTGTGATGACTGCATCGCAAAACAATTATTTCGACTCTTTTTTAAGAAAAATACACGTGTGTGGGGAGGTAGGGGGAAGGGGAGGAGGGTTAGGATGGACAGAAGGCGAAAGAAAAGAATACCAATACTCTACCATGTTAAATCTGTTAACCATTTCCTTAATGAAGATATCTAGAGTGATGTAGTGTTTATATAAGGTTAACTCCAAGTGCCTGTTGTAAAATGCTTCAGCAGCATTAGGCCCTAGTGTTTTTATTGCTCTGCTCCTTTACAACCTTTTAACCAAAGCCCAGGTGGTCACAGGAGCATTCTTGTTGTTAGATTCCTTTGATCCTAGTGTGCTACACCAATAATAGAATTGTAGGTCCTGTGAACATCTAGTACACTTTAACTGTTCTATGCCTGGAAGCTTCTGTTACACATTATATGCTTACATTGGAGACTCTTGAACCAGAATCCCAGTGGTGTTGCACAAAGCAGTTCGGGCTTCACAATCCAGAGAGCTCTGAGTTCCCCGGCTCTGTGCCGCTGATCAGAGAGATCAGTCTCACTCTTTCTCAGCTGGGCCACAAGGTGGGAGTGGAGTGACTTGGCCTGAAGGAAGGGGGAGAAAACATTGTTCACAGCTCTAAGACTAAGTGCTTCTTGAAATAGCTAATTGTGGAGCACCTTGTTGGTGGATGTGACAGCCGCAACAACTTGCATTTATAACAGCGCCCTTCATGCGGGGTAGGGACCCATAGCAGACAGCCCCCACCCACCCCTCAATGTTTGATATAGCACCGAGACACCTCAAAGCACTTTACCGTAAAATTTAGTGACTGCGTGTTTACAGGGAAACACATTAGCCCATTTGCACACAGCGATATCCCACAAGCAGCCCCCACACCACCCCACCCCCACCCCCGTCAAAGAGAACTGGTAATCGAAAAGTGCATCTGTATACGGACAATCCCACCAGCACAGTCAGTATCTGTTGTAATTAAAAAGATATGTTCGGCCACACAAGAGACTTGGACAAGAACCCACCCCCAAACTCCCAAGCATCATCTCTCTTTTCCCCACACTCAGGACCGTAAGATTCAGCGCGGAGGTGGGTGGTGGGGGGGCTCTGTGAGCTGCGATTGAAAGCCAGTAGTATAAGTTTATGCAAGGCCTGGCTTCAGTTTTTCACTGAAGGTCTCTGGAGTGAAGTTGTACCGGATCGAATTACATGCTGCACGAGGATTACTGGGGACCAACCACGTTACAATATATTACTCCTTGTGTTTGATATAGCACCTCGTCACGTGGTCGTGACATCTCAAAGCACTTCACGGGACTTTGCTGCAAAATATAGTGACTGCGTATTTGCAGATAGCCTATTTGCGCACAGCAGTGTCCCACAAACAGCTGTGGAGTGAATGACTAATTGTAACTGGGGAGGGGAAGGGAGAGGGGGGTTGTTGGGTCATGACACCAGGAGAAACTCCCATCTCTTCTCAAATAGTGCCTTGGCATCTTTAATGTCCATCTGAACAGCAGATAGGACCTTGGTAATAAAATAATAATCCTTGCATTTGATATAGTGCCTTATCACGTCGTTGAAACTAAAGCGCTTCACAGAATATATTGTACAGGGAGTTGACTGTATATTTTTAGACTTAATAAGCGGAGAAGAAATCTCCCATTGGAGATCTACACTTGCCCAAGTGTTGTAGTCATATTCTTTGCAGAATACTTGTGTTGACCGATAATTTCCTTACTACCCACTTCTGTGGCGTTGTTTCCATTGGGTCGCCTGCCTTTATCTGCGGTTCCCCATTCGGCTGACTACTTGAGCTATCATCATGAATGCTCTCCTTTCCTGCCAACCACGGCGTTTGTCAACACCACAACGTGAGAGCCTCTCCTGCTCCATCATTGCACATTCAAGGGGTTTGCATAGATTGAGTCACCTTTGTCCAGCCAGTTTTGGGCATTGGTAGTGTTCAATAGCCCTTTGATACTGCTGGGGGCCATTTGATTTGACATCACGTCCCTCAGTACATAGGTTCAGAGCAGAAAACCTGATTTATGCTTGTTCTAAGTTGCTCTCACCAGGAACTGTGAGCTTAAAGTCCCTGATTTGAAGCTTGAACCCACAACCTATTGACCCAGAGACAGGAGTGCTACCAAGCTGAGATAGACTGACCCACTTTAGGGAAGATGGGGGGGGAAAAATAGTGATATAAAAACATAAAAGTTGGACAGGTTGGCTTTTGCTCATCTTAAAGTTTTTTTGCGGACAGACGGAGCAGCACTTCCATTTACTCTGGATCCCGTCAACCACAAATCAATCTAACAAGTTTCTTTGTCAATCAAGGACCAAAGACTGCTGTCTTGTAAAACTGGAGCTCACTGTGAAACTGAAAAGCAAAGTCATTCAGTTTATAGGCTTCTCGAGTCAACAACAAGTAATTGCATTGAGAGCAGGAGTAAGAGTCAGCTCAGGAGCAGCAATAGCTGTACACTGAGGCAAAGCCAGACATTAAAATATTCCCACACCCTACAGAATATGAAGCTTGAAGATACACAGTGCAGTTTAGACGTTGTAGACGTTACGTCGAATGCAAGGATGATTGTTATTATTAATAATTATAACACTCCAGAATGTGATAATGTCACCGGGATAATAACATATTCTGCAATTTTCCCCTTCATGTAACGTCAGAGGATTTAATTCTGCTGTGTGAATGTGTTCGCGCGTGCGTGATTGTGCCGGTTTGCCCGGACCACTTCACTTTTGCCATCACCAATTTTTACAGAATAATAAAACCTGATGCCGTGTCTCGTACTTCAGGCTTTCAGAACCCCAGAGAAAAAAAAGGTGAGTTTCCAAAGCTTCTAAAAAGGCTTCTCAAGGGTGTTCCCCCACAAAATCCCCACAGTCTCCCCGCATTACAATGTGTCTTATGAAGCGCTTTGAGATATCTCTACGAAACGGCAAGGCAACCGCAAGGAATATTATTATTATTGTTGCTCATAATTTTCAGAGGTGAAAACATGAGCTGATATGTGCGTTCATCCACTTGCTATTTGTTGTATTACCAATAAGATACCAGAGAAAACAGGCTGCTTGGTTACCATGTTGTGGTTACACCCTGTTTCTTTTCTATCATTTGTTTGTCATGTCAAAAAAGAATTCAGTTCAGATTATAGCTTGAAGCCAAATGTTGCCGCTTATTAATTTTTTTCAAAATGTGAAGATGCATCATCCCCTCGGAGGGTAGGGAGGGACCTTTATATCAACATAATAGCTTAGAAATATATAAGCTGTTACTGTAGTGATTGAATAGGCCGGGGACAATCAAAAAGGGGCAATGAGAGAAGAATCCACCACGGTCTTTCCAAGGAAAGTCTGGTGATCTGCAAAAGTGTCACCTTTTTTCTTTCACCTCCCTTTTCTCCAGAAGCCTGACACAACAGATCTGCACACCTTAGATACTGAATGCGCACAGGAACAGGTTTGGTACATGAATTAACCCAAGGGAAAACCTCAGCAGCCTAAACAGGCATGACCCATTGCCTCTAATGGGGTTGTTAGGGGCTGCGCTTGCAGTTAGTGTCCGCTTCCCCTATTTACCACTCATCCTCACTTATGGTTCTCACCCCATGTATTAACTGACTGAGCTCTCTGTTGTTGTTGTTGTTGTGGTAGCTCTTAAATTATCTTATACAATATATTTTATCCGCTTTGCAATATATTCAGTGAAGCGCTTTGAGACATCTCAACGATGTGATAAGGTGCTGTATCAAGTGCAAGGATTATTATTAGTATTATTATCTTCATACAAAAGACTCTACAAAAATACCTGTTTATCTAATGTTCTGACAATCCTTCAAGATTACACTATAATTATTATTATTATTTATTATTAACTGGTCATTTGCCTAATTGCAGTTTGTGGAACTTTGCTGCATCCAAAATGGTTGCAGCGTTTAACTACCAAGAAAGTCATTACAATCGCCAATAATTACTGTAGAGCCTTTTGAGGCATTTCAGCATTTGAGGTGCTACAAAAGTAGTTTTTTTTCTTTCTCTCTCTCTTGTCTCACTTTTTGCTATACTCTGTCCAGCGCCTTGGGACGTCCTCCCGACGTGAAAGGCGCTATACAAATGTAATCTTGTTGTTGTTGTTGTTTTCTGCCTTCGGATCAGTCAAATCTAAGCACAGCAAATAGAAATATGGGCTTTGCTGAATACATTTGTGGTAAAATATGGTCTTAAAATTAAAGCCCTGATCCTAGAGGCTATTTTCACCACTGAGTCTGGGCTTTGCTGTCATTTGCAGCTGCTGCTTAATGCTAAGAAACATAATGATTGATCCAAAGCACCATATTATTCTGCTGCACCCATTAACTTTCATCGCCTCCTCTGTGCATTTTTTTTCCCTTGGATTTTGTGGAATTGCCTATTGCTTCAAAACTCTCAGCACCCAAGAAAAAAAGGGAAAGTATTTTTTTTCAGTCGGTTCTTTCGACACTTTGTTTGCTGGATTAAGGTGTGTGCGCCACACTGCACGTGTGCGATTTGAGACCTAATGGTGCATTTCACCCATTGTTAATTGGTTTTGCACGTCCTAATTAATTGGTACTTTTTAATAAAGACACAACCTCATTCACTTCACTTCCGTTATTTTATTGATCAGTTCCTACGTCACAAATCTCTGTAACTACCATTCCGTCCTGGCCCTCTCTCTTTCTGTCTTTACGTATCGCCTCAATTCCTCCCTGTTTGAACCAACTATGCCCACCTCACCATTTGCTGAATGTCCAGCCACATCCCTTGTAAAACATTCCGAGATGTAACCCTACGTGAAGGTCGCTATATAAATCCAAGTTGTTGTTGCTCATTAATTCCTTCACTTTTGTTATTTTTTGCTCTACATAAACTGTTCTTATCTACTGGTATTATAGATAATTCCTCCTGGTGCCAACAGTCAGAGGTGAATGTTCAAAGGCTTTTCCTAAAGCTGATATGATCAAAATCTCCACCGCTACAGTAACACCAAATGTGGCTGCCTGACTTTTGTAGTCATTTGATTAAGAGGTATTACCTCTTTCCTTTTTATGTAATAAATCTTTTTTCATTATAATGAATTGATAGCGTTTTGGACTTTTAATGTTATTCTTGGGGCTTGGCTGATGTTACACTGCACCTTGCAAGAGGATATCCTGACCTGGTCTTTCTTTGTTTAAACTGTGAATTGCATTACAAACCGTATGGATTCTTTACTCAGTATCTCAAGTCGCACAAACTGAAATGTTGACATAAAATTATGTTGCCACAGGAAAAGCTTTGATATATCCCTTCAAACCAGTTTCTGTATTATTAACAGGCACGTGAACAACTTCAATGCAGCACTTAAACAAAGGAGCTAATATTTGTTCAGGTATGTAGTCCATTCACAAGATCACAAAAGAGGTTTAGACGAAGAAGTCACAGAGAGATTTGATCTTCTCCCTCAGGAATACCAAACTCTACTGTCTTCACATTACGGTGTTTACTTCCTGGTGTCTGTTCTAACTTTTCCTTTCAAATCTTTTCAGGGCTTTAGTTGGTCTGGCATTATAAGTTGGGTAAATTGGTTTCCACTTTCACCTTAAAAAATACGCACAGTCACTGTATTTTACAGTAATCTTGGGAAACGCTTTGAGAAGTCCTCACAACATGAAAAGTGCTATATCAAATACGAGGAATATTATTATTATTAATAAACTTGATTAAATAACCGCTTCAACCACACTGCATTGAAAAACATTCAGTTCCAGGTCAGACAATAGGACTAATGCAGTCAACGTACAGATTTAAAAATGCAAATGCATTCTATTATAAAAGATTTGTAAATAAATACAGTACAAATTAATTTTCTTGAGTTGACCTACAAGAGTGGGATTGAACATTCTCCAAAGCTCTTTTTTATCAGGAAGATGTAACACAGCATCTCTTTTGCAAGCGAGACATTTGTTCAAACGGATAACATTCTAAACTCCGTAGCTTTTAATTCTTTTGCCTTTGCTTGAATTGCTCGGGTAAGGAATCATTGGACTGCAGAA